CGACGCCGCCACTGCTGTGATGTGCCTCCGGCGCGACTGGGGATCTGACATCACTAATATCGCGCTCAATCTCCTCCAAAAAGGAATCGCTTTCAAGACACTCCAAGCCATGGCAGTCGCGCCTGACGCACGTCGCCCACGTACGGAACTCCGTTCATACTCCCCGACCTACACGCTCCCCCCTTTCAAGGCTGTTTATGCGGATTACGTCGTGTATGAGCAGCATCGGCACGAATTCATGAATCAGCCGCGTGCAAGAGCCGCACTTCTTCATGGCGGGCTCGTATGGAGGCTGGCTTTGCATAGCTTTGGTGTCGATGATCTTCCCTCCGTTCTCGAGGGAATTTCACAGGAAGCTGTTCCGTTTGGCCTCATGTTGCCAATCAATGACCAGACTTACTTTGACGATGAGTTGTCGGAGGAGGAGGTGGATTTCATGTGCGGCACGTATTATTCATACAACAGTAAGTTCTTTCCTACCGACAACAACACAAACGCTCACATTTGATAAATAGACGACGGCACTATGGACAAGGTCTCTTGGTGGCCGAGACCTCAGGCCTGGGCTGCCTCAGGGTTGAATGTGGGATTCTGGTCCACGCGATGCGAAGAGTGGTTCCAGAAACGCCTCGACAACATTCGACAGGGTGTCTCTAGAATTCGCAATACACCCGTCAACGACGATAACGGTCCAATGACCGCCACTCGGTGGAAACGTTCGCTCAAGTTTAATCCGGGGACGAACAAAATGATGAAAAACGTTGACGCGGCGTGTTCCCAATTTCTCGCTAACAACGCAACTGGTGAGACTGATTTTGCTGTCATTATTCGTGCGTTTCTGAACGAGCTCCCACTTAGTTTTCGCGGAGAATTAGCGTTATACCGGATCGCAACATAATAACACACGCTAAGCCAACTGCGAACCTCCCATTGACCTCCACGATATACTTACATTTCCCCGCCGCAGCATTCCTCTTGTACCTACTTGCGTTGCCCCTGTCAGTCCCATATACATCGCCAGCACATACACATGCCTCGTCCCTTAAAGAGAAAGATGCACATGATGAAACACGTCCAACATAGGGTCAATGACCCAAACGGACTAAATCTGATGCCAAAAAAAAACCCCAAATAGCGTTAGATTATCGTATTCGTGACTGCTATGTACCTCTTGGAATAATTGTAATTGTACGAATGATGACTGTATAAATTGTGTGACTCGACGCTTCCCCTCCATGCACAACAATGGTGAGCCGATGACCATCTTGACGAAGTTGCGGGTGAATTGAGGAAAGACACGCCAATACAAATCGTCGTGCCGTAGCCTGAGCCAAGGGAGATGGACGCGATGGTACATACCGTCGGGCCAGGAAGTATAGTTTATGTTTTAGGCAAGTACGAGGAACGAGCACGTGCCTACAACGACGTCTATGTAAGAATTAAGTAAGATTAAGATCTTCCTTCTCCTTTCCCCACCACAATACTTGGCGAAAACATTCGCATATCAACTATTTTCCTTTCAATACTCTCTTGAATCCTCGATTCCCTTTCAATTCTGTTCACTTCCTCGGACGATCATGACCAGGTTACACGCTGACCCCAATTCAGAACAGTGTCCAGACTTCGCGTCCGCAGAGTTTCAAAGTAGTCGCGCGCCCCTCTTGAGCCCTACCAGCGACGATGCTCAAGCTGCGGCCACCTTACGCACCATTTGGACTGCAACCAACGCCACTCTCAAAGCTAAATGGCAACTTCAGCTCGATGCTGAAGCTTTGGAACTCACAGAACAACAGCGTCTCCGAGACGAAGCCGAGGCACAACGCCTCGAGGCTCAGGCTCAGCTCGACGCCACTACAGCAGACGAAGATCGGAAGAAGAACCGGATCCATCACATTCCCATTCCTAGTCGACCACGCCCTAAACGCGCTGCTGAATCTTTTCTGGTTTCGGACTTTGCGTTACGCAAACTAGACAAGGCTCAATTCGTCGAGCTATATTACTGGACCAATAAAGGCCTCGCAGACGCTCGTCTGAATTTCCTTACCACCGACGACGACAGCATGGTACCCTCAGCGGCTGCGGACGGCTCTACCTCGTGGATTGCCGCAAGTGTGGCTCGCCCAGCAGCGGGGGTTATTGCTGACCACCTTCTTGCGCCTCTTGACTTCTCTCGCGCCATTCCTCGCTTCATTGCCTCGTTGGAGCAGCGAGGTTGGGAAGACTCACGTATCGTTATGTTAGCCAACTTCTTCGGCGCACTGATGTTACATAACTATTGGTGCTCCGACAACGCTTTAGAGCAACGAGCTCTCCTCGCTTACGAGGAGGATCAGCGTCGTGCATGGCACCAAGCAATTCCTTTGGCCTCCGGAGCCTGGGATATCAGCATTCTAGACGAAACGGAGATTTCTCAGACGTTTGACCGCCTGTATCACAGTGAACGAGACCGAGCTGACCGTGAATTCGATCTAAAGGTTCGTACCAACATCCTCGTCCTGAAATGCACACTAATAGATTTTCATCATCCCATGCCTTTAATAATGCTCCCTTTTGGTCACTACCTGCCTTATGCCTTGCCATGGACTATTTCGGTCACGCCTTCTGCCTTACCTTCGCGTTTGCGTTATCCTTTGCGACGATCTTCGCATCTTCAGCGTTTACATGGCATTCCTTCTTCTCACCCAGTGGACGACGATGCCTCCAGTCGCTCCAAGAGGAGTCGGATTTCCTCTAACAACGCCTCCTCAGAGTACCGTTTCACCTCTGATTCGAGCCGTTCGGATCATTCCAATCCACGCAACAAAACTCCCCGCCTTGACAAGACACCTCGCTCCTCGTCGGGTTTTTCAAGCGGCGCGCACGGACATCGCTCCACAGCCGTGTGCGCCGTTTGTCTCGGGCGACACAATCACTCCTTCATCGAGTGCCCCGCAGATCGTCTGTGGGACAACTCTTATCCCACCGTCAGCAAACGCGTTGCCAAACAGCTCCTCATTCGCAGTTCCGACAAGCCACTTTGCGTGGATTGGCAACGAGGAAAAAGTTGCCCTGCGCGATCACACGACGAAAAGCATCTGTGCTCGGGCTGCTTATCCCTCTCCCACGGAGCTCAGTCGTGTCCTCGAACTCAGACGCTTGCAGCCAATATGTCCGTATAACGTCGTCGCCTGGGAAGACTCACTCCGTGATGCAGGATTACTGGAGCGCTACTCCAAAATTTCAAAGGGCTTCCGCTTGGGGTTTGATCTTAACTTGCCTCTCATCTCTATATCACAAATACCTCCTAACCATCCGTCGCTGCAACAACATCGGCTTGCCTTTGATACCATCATTGATCGCGAGTTGCTTACTGGTCGTTATGTTGGTCCTTTCACCAAATCGCACTTGTCTTCGCTTCTTGGCCCATTCCAGACATCCCCCATGTCCATTATACCCAAGCCAGGAAAACCGGGAAAGTACAGAGTCATTCAAAACTTTTCATTCCCACATTCAGCATCCCCTCGTTTTGCTCAACCTTCTATCAACGCTGGAGTCGATTCAGACGACTTCCCATGCACCTGGGGGACTTTTGATACCGTCTGTGCCATCATTCGCCACCTCCCTCCAGGTTCACAGGGTGCCACCCGTGATGTGGCCGAAGCTTATCGCACGATTCCGCTACTTCCATCTCAATGGCCTGCTGCAGTGGTTCGTGCGGATGACGACTCTTTCTTCATCGACACCTGCATCTCCTTTGGCATGGGACCTTCCGCGGGAGCATATGGTTATGTTGCAGATGCTGGTGCAGATCTGCTGCGCGCTGCAGGACTGGGGCCGCTCATCAAGTGGGTGGATGACCATTTGTTTTTTCGCATTGCTTGCAGTCATCTCGTGGGCTACAATAATCATCGCCGTTCAGTACATGAAAGTTTATCTACACGTAAAATTAGACAAACAGGAGGGAGATTGTGGTTCGAAGGGGACACCTTTGATGATGGGTCCTTCGATGTTTACAGCGAAGATTGTGCATTTCCTATTTTGGATTTTTCACATGTTTCAGAACGTTCCGGCGTGGACCTTCTCTTTTCTTCTGCTTTCTGCGACATTGATCGACACTCCTCTTTTCTTGGCATTCCCTGGGAGCCAAAGAAAGACACTCCCTTCGGTTTTGAACCACTCTTCATCGGCCTCTTGTGGAATCTCACCCTTCTGGTCGTTTCTTTGGCAAAATTCAAACGACTCAAGTACCTGGCTGCCATCGAAACTTGGCTCTCACGCTCGACTCATGTACTTCTCGAAACTCAGCAATTATATGGTAAGCTCTTGCATGCCTGTTTGGTGCTCCCATCCGGTCGAGCTTACCTCACATCCTTGGAAGCGATGCTTAGCATCTCCAGTGCACGTCCGTTCGTGCCACATCACTCAGTCAAGCACCTTCGCGAAGACCTCATCTGGTGGTCCGGTCAACTGGCCAATCCTTCCCTGCATCGCCCAATTCCCCAGCGGCTCCACATCATTGATGGACAAGCCTATTCCGACGCCAGCTCGGGTGTCGGAATCGCAGTTGTTATCCATGGGTTTTGGAGGGCGTGGTACTTGCTACCGGGGTGGCAAACACTCGACGGACCCAAAGACATTGGCTGGGCAGAAGCAGTGGGCTTCGAGCTGCTCGTCCGTTGCATGCTCCGTCTCAACACCTCCTCTTCCTGCAAACATTTTCGAGCCTTTTGCGACAACAGGGGTGTCGTCGACGGCTGGAAGAACGGAAAGAGCCGGAATCGGGCAACCAACTTGGTCTTCAGGAGAATCATTGCGCTGCTGGACGACACAGATGACGGATCATCATTCCACCTGTCCTACGTTACGAGCGGACAGAATCCTGCCGATGACCCCTCTCGTGGAAAGTTCCCCCCTGCATCCCTCCTACTTCCACCCATATCTCTCCCTGACATCCTCACACGTCATCTCGTCGACGTTGACATCTCCTCCACCGCTCTCAGAACTGAGGCCTCGAATCGGTTCCCGGGTAGTAGCACTGTGGATGACGGGTATGAATGCTGGGATTACGGAGAGGAGCTCCTGCGCTTCAGAGATAGTTGGACAGAGTGACACTTCTCATTTCCTTCAGCAGCGACCAGCTTCAGAAGCAACCACCAGCAACCTTCGCGCAAGACCCTACCCTCCTATGCTTACTCCTAACCCCTCCGCATTAAGACCACATTGCTTAGCGCGGGATCGGTTGAAGCTGTGGCTGCCAGCAACCAGCCGCATCGCGCGGGATCACGCGGGTCACCCCATCCCACTTTCTGATGACGATCTGAATCGAATTCTGACTGTGATAGGACATTCTCTTGCTGGAGGAACACGAGAATCATACGGATCAGGGTTGTTGGTGTTTCACGTCTTCTGCGATGCGCGGCAAATTCCAGAACACCAACGTGGTCCTGCCTCACCTATCCTACTGTTAAGTTTCATCGCTAACTGCGCGGGACTCTACTCAGGGAAGACGTTGGAAACCTATTTCTATGGAGTACGTGCTTGGCACTTACTCCATGGTCTCGACTGGCTCGCGCAGGGAGCTCAAGTATCCGCTGCACTACAAGGTGCAGCTCGTCTAGCCCCTCCAACGTCAAAACGGACCAAACGTAACCCTTTCACTGTTGCATGTCTTGAAAGCATTCGCTCCGCGCTTGATCTGTCATCTCCTCTTGATGCAGCTGTTTACGCGTGTCTGCTCACTTCCTTCTTTAGTCTCGCGAGACTCGGGGAAATGACAGTACGCTCCCTGTCATGCTTCGAACCTTCAACTCATGTCAAACCTTCAAACATACGCCACGATGAGGATCGACATGGTCTCTCCGTGACGGTCTTGCACTTGCCCCAGACCAAAATGTCACCATCGGGCGAAGACATCTATTTCGCTCGGCAGTCCGGCCTGGCTGATCCGCATCATGCTCTGCTCAATCATCTATCCATCAACTCCCCCTCATCCTCCGTTGCCCTCTTCAGCTGGAGGCATCGCAACGGCCTTCGACCTCTCACACGTTCAGCCTTCCTAGGGTGCCTAGATCGCGTCGCGACGCGACTAGGCATGGAACCACTCAAGGGCCATGGAATTCGGATCGGAGGGACTTTGGAGTATCTTTTGCGTGGAATCCCCTTCGAGACGGTCAAGTCGATTGGTCGCTGGAAGGGAGATGCGTTCATTGGGTACCTTCGGCAGCATGCTGTGATCATGGCGCCATACCTGCAAGACACGCCTATCTTAGAACCTTTCACTCGCTATGCGCTTCCGCCTGTCCGTTAAACATCTGGTGAGCCGCCGCTTCACTCCTATCCTTTTGGGGCCAAGCACTCGCTAGCTGCGTCGTTAAGCGCCTATATCTTTGGGAAACTCTGCTCATGCTTGTTCCTTTGTTTTCAGGGTCTGCATTCCTTGCTTCGGTCGAACGAGTCTTAGAGACTCCTTTCCCAAATTTTGCTATCTTACTTGTTGTTCCTTGCCTGATCTTACATAGATTGCTCTTATGTGTCCTGCGTTTTCTGAAATAAAATATTTATTTAAGAATCGAGTGCCTTGCCTGAGCTTAGGAGATTCAAAACATAGATTATGTTTTAGGCAAGTACGAGGAACGAGCACGTGCCTACAACGACGTCTATGTAAGAATTAAGTAAGATTAAGATCTTCCTTCTCCTTTCCCCACCACAATACTTGGCGAAAACATTCGCATATCAACTATTTTCCTTTCAATACTCTCTTGAATCCTCGATTCCCTTTCAATTCTCCCACCCTCCACTCCCCCATGTCTGTTGATCAGGTTTCTCAACCCTTGTGCACCAGTGGGCATCCCATCACATGTTGGGTCTCCATCTTCACAGGCCCTCACAATGTTCATTACTCTTATCCGTGGCCCTGACCGGCTTTACGTTGTCCTGGCCTCATGGCTTGGGTTTGGACCCACATTAGGTGGCCAATTTTGACTTTAGCACTTAATGAGCCTATTCGGTTGCACCTTTCTTGGTCTAGGCCTTCTTCTGAATCGTATTTAATGGACCTGATCATGCTTTGGGCGCAGTACTTTCTTTCTCTCCAACATGCACGTCCTTTCCGTCGATCTTCCTATCGAGCTCATCTGCAGTGTAGACACTGCAACCGCATCCACTGTCTCTTCTGCTGCTTCATCCACCACCTGTGTAGCTGCCTCTCTATTCATAGATGGTAGCCGATCACTCCCTCTGGTAGACTCATGGATTTTTGATGGTCCCATCCCTGGTGATGACCATTCTCCCTCCCTTTTTGGAGCTGGAGATCGCATTGCCATTTATCGACATGGCTCCCTCAATGCACCAGGGTGTGGCCCTCCACTTCCTTCTCCAGCCTTCACTGGTCGTCTCACCCACATTGTGGGTTGGAGCCCGACTACCATTGAGTTTCACATTGATATTCACACTGTCTTTCCTACCCCTACCACTACCATCCAATTCCCTCGGTCTATATGCCGTCTGTCCTTTTGGGAGCGTCTTTGGGGTTGGCTCTGCCCTTGGCCCAGATGCCACCCCCCAGAGATTACCAAATTTAGGCGGAACTCCACTCATTCAGTCTGCAGCTCCATTGTTTGGGCTTCTGTGGAAATTTGAGGTATAGTGACCTTTTTTGTACTGTGGCATTGCTTCTGATGCATGGTATTGGTCCAGTGGTGCCTTTTCCTTTGTTGACTTGACGCAGGTCTGAGTTCCCTTTGTGAGCTGTTGGGTCCCTCCCACCCAACTCTGCTCATGCTTGTTCCTTTGTTTTCAGGGTCTGCATTCCTTGCTTCGGTCGAACGAGTCTTAGAGACTCCTTTCCCAAATTTTGCTATCTTACTTGTTGTTCCTTGCCTGATCTTACATAGATTGCTCTTATGTGTCCTGCGTTTTCTGAAATAAAATATTTATTTAAGAATCGAGTGCCTTGCCTGAGCTTAGGAGATTCAAAACATAGAATATACATAAACTATCTGAGTGCGAGAAAGACGTGGGAAGATATTACGTACGTTATTTATTATTGCTGTGCACTTTCATCGCCAGTTTCCAAGTCTTACTCCTTAATCACTATATATGCTTCAATAGGTTACCTTCGCTTCTCGGACTCGACAGTTTGTGCTGCCGAGCTCGTCGTCATAGGCGTCCTTCCGCCTTCAATCTATGGCATGACTGTTTGTATGGTCGTGTCCCTGCCTTTCTCTCCCGATTTCACCGCCCTGAACGCATCCAGTCCCTCGTTACTCCCTGGGTTCGACGTTTCCGATGGTCTTCCCCCTTCTCCACACGGTATGACTGTTTGTACGGTTGTGTGCATCTAGCTAGGCTTAATGAAGTACTTTTTTACAGCATCCCTCGTGTCCCCACCTTTCCCTCCCGATTTCATCGCCTTGAACGTCCCGAGTCCTTCGCTACTCCCTGGATCGACATCCCCGATGGTCTTCCACCTTATCCGCACGGCATGACTGTATGTACAGTGGTGTACGTCCAGATAGGGTTAATGAAGCACTTCTCAGGGGACTACCGCGATCCATCCTCGACCATCGGACTTCACCACCCCACAGACTAAGACTCGCTCCAGTCTCAACCGCCCAGCAGTTCGTACTGCTGAGAGGCACTGATGACTTCATCCGAGCCCTCGTCCTTACCCAGAGTCTTTGGCCCAGCAAAAGTCATGTTCGGATTCACGATTGGACGTTTAAGAAGATCATTACAGGTGCCCCTTACCTTCGAGAACTCGTAAGAGGTGGTCGCTAAAGTCGGACTGCAGGAGGTCCTTGATGAGGTATGTGTGCATATATGCACCTTTCAGTTGACTAATTATCAAACAGATGCAATATTTGATTGGACAGACGTGCGATCCGAAGATGCGGCTCATCTGAACAGGAGCATTGCACGTTATGCGGTGTTGAATGTAAAGGGTCTGGTGCCGCCTGCCTTCCCTGATACCAAGGCATTGCGTGCACAGGTGGGTCTCAACCACCCTCAACTCGCTCGCTCCCTATCGCGACTTTCAGAATTGCGTGTCATTCTTTTATCTTCCACCACTATGGCGACCAGCTGTACATTTCACGGATTGGTTGGCGTTCAAAATGCTTCTAGATATCAATATGACACTAAACATTACTGGAAATACGACGGCTACATTGCCCTCCCTGACAGTGACTTAGCGGTTGCTGTGTTCAGATTCGGAGCTAATACTGCTTCGACTGAAGATGGTATCTATTTGATGCACGCACGCGCCATGATTGGTTCTGCTGTAACTGATGAGGGCACGTCTACTCACACTCTGCATCTATATGCCAATGATGTTCGCTGTTTGATACTTTTCTGTCACATCACTCATGTTATCAACTCAGTAAATCGCAAGCAGTTTCCTTTGAGACTAGCTTATGCGACTACTTTCAACGGTTGTTAAGGCCTGACGCTCTCTCGAACTGTTCTGGATCTTAGAACTGATCCTTTTGCGCATGGTCAACTGTATACAGCACTGTCGCGTGTGAGAAATCGTGAAGATTCGCTGTGCTTATTTGGGAGAGGAAATGAGGACAGAGATACGGCAAACTTTGTGTACAAAAGTCTGCTTTTGTAATAGTGGCAATAAATCCCAACGCCCGAAGGTCATTGCTTGTATTTCTATAAACTAAAAAGCCAAGCTTGAGGCTGGCACTATCAAGATGGTTGCACGTATCCATGACAGGAACTCACGTTATTCAAGGTAATGAAACATATACTCACCGGCCCCTCATCTGCACTCGCTAGGGGCGACTTTCATGTCTCAAACTCTTGCAATGCGGTACTTCACAGAATGATGGCTGTGGCTCACCCTCACCTGCTCCGAGTCCACCCACTCCTAAGCCACGTCCTGTTCCTAAGGCGCGTCCCGTTCGTAAAGCACCATTGGAGGAATCCACACCACTTCCCCGCAAAAAGCAGAAGGTGGTCCCACCAGAAAGCCCGCTCACAGAATCCGAACTATCGGAGGAGGAAGTTGAGTCTCCAGTTCGAAGATTGCCTCGACAAGCTCGACCAAAGGCCAGCCGCAAGACTACGGCATCCGCTAGCGCACTAAAGAAAAAGAAGGGAAGAAAACGACCTGTGCTGATTGTTCATTTTGTCTCGTAGTTGATGCTGATTTTCTCACTTACTAGTGTGCTTGTCTCATACCACATCTGCCTCACTCCACGTCGCCGTTTGCCGTTGCATGTTTTGCTCTTCTCGCTGTCATCCGTTCTTCCGTCGTGGGACTATTATGCCTTGGCGCATGTAGCACTCTTAGATGTACTTTTACTGTCTGCTCATACCATGTATTACAATACCGAAATGAAATGGTCTTATCAGAATTTATCACCAGATCAGAACATATAAGTAATTTGGGCAGATCAATGCTTCTAAGCTCAAAATCCATGCTAAGGCACGAGTTACTTGCCCAACCTTCGTCAGCTTATCTACAATTGAGTTTCTCGACCAGATCTTATACGTTGTTCCCCACACCTTGCGCGCGCTGATACGCCTGGTGCACCTTTTGCGACCTTGCACGTCCTGGTCAGCCCTTATCAGCCCTTATCAGCCCTTATCCGAGTTGGGGAGTTTCGGTGATGGTACGTTCAAGGCGTACAAACAGTCATGCCGTAGGGAAGGAAGCGAGCATAACGAGGGACCCGTCGAGTGGAACTTTGGCAAAGAGCCCAACAATGCCAAATAACTTACGTACTTACTATTATTTGGAAATCACAGAGTATACTTGACCTGCGAACAGCTTATGTCATAATTCTAATCATTTGATTTTCCAGATGTTCCTGCAGTCGTCGGTCACCCACTACTTTTGTTCCGAGCTCGATGGTTTGTACTGTCGAGCTCATCGTTCACCCCATCATTTTTGCTGTTGGTTTCATTGGTTAGAGTATCAGTTTGTACTGTTGCTCACTGCCTGAGCCAGCTGCACTAGACAACGATCTCCTTCGTCGCCCCGACCTGCCGTATCCCTCATGAATCCCAACGTTCATATCTTCATCGACGAAGGGCGAATTTTCACATCGCTCAATGCATCCTCCCCTCCTGCCCTGATACCTCCTATTCCTAGGCCCTGGAACTCCTACCTGGAATCTGATTCTTCCCCCGATAACATCAAAGACGTATTAACTACTCAGTGGGCGTACGAAACGCGCCCATGGTTTCCTCTCATCCCCGAAAATCCTGTTTTCGATGGCGCAATATTCGGCTGCCTTAATCACTCCTTCTACTCCTTGCCCATAGAGCCTACATCTGACGGTCGCTACACTTTACGCGGAGACGTTAGAAGAGCATGGGAGAACCTAGAGCAAAAGTTACTTTGGTGCCAGACGTGCCTAGCGCAGAACATGCCCTTCCCTTGGTACGGTCAACCTCCGCGAACTCCGGCTGATTACGGATACACGAGGTCTCACGTGGATGCGAAGCTTGCGAAGAAGGTTGCTCTGAGATCACGCGACGCGTTCTTAGGTATGCAGAGGCTCCTTCACGTCTGTTACAACAACTTATCGTGTTCTCAGGCATCGCGGCTCTATGTACATACTTCATAATGCATCGTCTAGAGAGTCCGACGAATAGTCCCTCCAAATGGACCTCTGTCTTGACTAAAGACCCTCAGTGTTCTATACCCCCTGCATGGGTGGTAGAGCTCTCCCGCACATTCGTCGGGGATTTTACAAGTGCTGTACCTCGCACCGGTACGATTATCAACAGCGCCCACAGTCTGGGCTGGGACTCAGATGTGCACATGTTTGAACGCTTTAATGTTCCAACTTGGGTGTATTGGCCTCCTGATGGCGTGGTCGGAAAGCGCTGGAAAAATCACGCACCTTGTGCAGAAGCTATAGCCGTAGCAACTGAGAAAAGTTTGTGGGGCGATCAGTCTGATGCTAATCCATGGGGTGCTCAGTTTGACGGTAATCCGTGGGGCTCTCTCACCGACGGTGATCCGTGGGCCGCCCAGGCGAATGATCCTGGAAGTCTTCAATTAAACGATCCGCAACCTGTATCCAATGCTGATACTCAATCCCCGCCCGACTCTTCCTTTTTTCCGAAACCAGAGGCAGGTAGTGGGCAGAGACCTGGCGAGGATTGGCAGCAGTTCTTTGCCCGCCAGGCAGCACAACACAAGGAGAAGGAGGAGAAGGAGACGCCCTCTCAAAGGTCTGCACGTCTGAATCGCATAGAGATGGTGGGCCAGAAACTTCCTGGGAGGTCTAGCAAGGTCAAGGTGTTTGAATGGGAACCCCAAGACGAGCATAACGGCTTTTTGTTGCGCAAGGCCGTCACTAAAGCTAACATAGAGGGAGTCTGGGGAAATTATAACAGGTTTACAAGGATCTACAATTCCTTCGCCAATCAGTGGGACTTGTGTCTCGCGCTCAACCCAGATAGCGAGCCTGATGGTGATGATCGAGAAGATGACGACGACATCATGCCTCCACTCCCTATCCGCGGCCCCTCAAATGTCCCTCCTCCGGCCCCTTCCAGTTTCTCGCATGATATATACAGATACTTCGGCCAAGACGTTTCACTCTCATCAAGACACACGGGCATTGAAGGACTCGTGCCTGTCTTGCATCACCATTTCGGATATCGACTCAATGCACCTACGTCTGCTCCCTTGTATGGGTCCATACGACTCGAAGCGTGGATTAAGAAGATGACATGGGATCATGTGCGCAAGCTCCTTGGTGATTCAACAACAGAAACCGGCATGATCGCAGAGCCACAACGCAACAGTATCACGTACTACATCTCGTATCTAGTGAACTTGAAGGACACTGAGTTGGACACAATCCCGCCTGATGTCTGGGATTTGGGGCCACACCCATCTTTACCAATCGTGCATGCTCATATCCGGGTTTCTTACGCAGATTTATCACAACGCAGGTTTTACATAATCGAACCCCGCCAGTCCCCAACTCTTGTCGTGTGGACACTGGCTGTCCCCGACCCCATTACTGCTGTCATGTGCCTGCGACGTAACTGGGGGTCAGATATGAGGGAGATCGCATTGGCTCTCCTTAAAAGAGGCATGTCATTCAAGACTCTCCAGCGGATGGCCGTCGCCCCCACCTTGCGTCGCCCCCTTACTGAACTTCGGACATACACGTTGGGTCATCGAGCACCCCCCTTCCGAGCTGTGTACGCTGATTATGCTGTATACGAGCAACTACGCCACGAGTTCATGAATCGGCCTCGAGCAAGGGCTGCTTTCCTGCATGGAGGACTCGTGTGGCGGTTGGCTTTGCACAGCCTCGGTTTCGACCATCTTCCTTCTGTTCTTGATGGTATTTCGACTGAGGCCGTTCCATTTGGCCACCTGTTGTTTTGGAATGGCCAGACTTACTATGACGATGGGCTGTCGGATCAAGAAATCGATTTCATTTGCGGAACTTATTATATTGAGAAGCGTGAGCTTCCCGTTATCCGGAATCTCAGTAGTACTAATACTAATGCTTTCTAGCTCAGAGCACGGACGTAGTCTCCTGGTGGCCTAGGCCCAACGCTTGGGATGCATCGGGCCTGAACCTTGGTTTTTGGTCCGCGCGTTGCGAAGATTGGTTCCAAAAACGTCTTGACAACATCCGAGAAGGGGTTTCCCGCGCGCGACATTCATCCACCAGTGACGCTAATGGTCCAATGACCTCCACGCAATGGAAGCGCTCCCTGAAGTTTAACCCTGGCACAAACAAGCTGATGCAAAATATGTCGGCAGCGTGTTACGATCACATGTCGAGAGCATCTGGTAAAAGCGGTCTAGCTTACGTCCCTCTTCTCGTACTGATGTTTTATTCTAGTTTGGACTGACACATAGTTTGTACAAAAGTTGTATGTTGCATGCCCGTTACTCTGATACACTGTTTCATCATCACATACATCCGTAATTTTCCTGCTTGTGGGTGGTGATCGGTCGCCCTTAGTCAGGCGACTCAGGCCGTACTAGCCTGAAGGCGCTGTTGTTGCCTTAGATCAACGATTCAATGCATCTTTTTTTTCTGGACGGTTCGGTGTGGACGTTTCACGTTTGACTTTTAAGTACTCTCACT